TAAGAAAAAGGCCCAAGAATCAGGACTGTCCCTAAAAAAAAAATCAAGACACCTGGTCACCCTAACTAGCATCCACACCCTTTAGGCTTTGTCTACACTATTACCCATTGTTAACAGTGGGCGTCAACCATGGGCAAAGTGAACTGGTGCTCAGCCCAGCTGCAGGAGTAATTGCGTTTAACCACAGGTTCTGAAAGGGTGCTAAAGCCTGCAGGGTTAGCCTCTGTGAAAGACTGCTGATCTTCCAGTGCAACTAGTGCCACACCCCCAATTAGATCCATGCTGGGATATTGCTAGCAAACCCAAAAGAGCAAGGGAACTTCAGATGCTAAATAGAATTTCTGAGAAGGTTAATTAACGTTATTTACGTGCCAAATGCCTCCTTCTCCAACTAACCACCCACTTACCTAATCTAGTTTGTGGAGACATCTAGCAGTTACCTCTGGACTAGCCTCAATGTTGATTTTAGTTCTACAGTTCATCTTTAAGATAAGTTGGTAATTGTAAAGGGTTGGGACTCACCACCACAGCACCTCCCGCTATTCACTCTAAGAATTAGCTCAGTTCATGCAGAGCACCCTCTGCCAGTGGTGTCCCATCCATTTCTTGCCCTAGATTGGCATCTCAACCTGCATTGCTCCCAGCTTGCGGCATCCTCTTCAGGACACTGCTCTCCAGCAGTGCCCACTGCTCCGGTCTCACCCCCTTCTGGGAGTTTGGTGTTATCAGCAGTCCTTCTCTTCACCCCAGCCACAATGGCCAACCACACCCCAAAGTCTAACCCCTTTTGGCAGGGGTCTGGTGCAGTCCATGATGGCCACTCCTAACGGCCAGGTGGAAGTGCAAGGGGGGGACCCAGGCCCGCTCTCTACTCTGAGTCCCAACCCAGGGACCCTTTGGCGGCAGTCTTCCTGCCTGCCTGCCCTTCTTCTCTCCCTTTGTCTGTCTCTCTCTCCCTGGGCAGTTTCCCCTTCAGCCCCTTTTCTCAGGGCTTGTAGCCCAGCAGGTACCAGGCAAAAGTTCACCTCTGCCCCTGGAGACAGACCTTCACCCTCTGAAGGCCTAGGAGAGACCACCTGCTCCCTTCCTGGGCAGCCTTTATATAGGGCCCAGCCTAGCCCTGATTGGCTGGCTGTAATACTGGCCCTGATTGGCTCTCTAACAGGCCCTCTGTGATTGGCTGCCGCCTTGTGCAGCTGCTCTGGCCTGTTGTAGCCCAGTCTGGCATGGGGGTGGGGCACCGCCGCACCACACCATGGTAACACAAATCAAACCCTGAAGTGTATTTCAGATTTAACTCCATAGACTCTTGAGCCTCTTCCTTATGTCTCATTTGAGAGTTACATAAGATTCAAAAAAAGACAGCAGGGCAGGCTTCAAACTCTGCAGTTAGGGTATGTCTACACTACGGAATAAGGTCAAATTTATAGAAGTCGGTTTTTTAGAAATCGGTTTTATAAATTCAAGTGTGTGTGTCCCCACAGAAAATGCTCTAAGTGCATTAAGTGCATTAACTCGGCGGAGCGCTTCCACAGTACCGAGGCAAGCGTCGACTTCCGGAGCGTTGCACTGTGGGTAGCTATCCCACAGTTCCCGCAGTCTCCGCTGCCCATTGGAATTCTGGGTTGAGATCCCAATGCCTGATGGGGCTAAAACATTGTCGCGGGTGGTTCTGGGTACATATCGTCAGCCCCCCGTTCCCTCCCTCCCCCCGTGAAAGCAAGGGCAGACAATCATTTCGCGCCTTTTTTCCTGAGTTACCTGTGCAGACGCCATACCATGGCAAGCATGGAGCCCGCTCAGGTAACCGTCACCCTATGTCTCCTGGGTGCTGGCAGACGCGGTACGGCATTGCTACACAGTAGCAGCAACCCCTTGCCTTGTGGCAGCAGACGGTACAGTACGACTGGTAGCCGTCATCGTCATGTCTGAGGTGCTCCTGGTCACCTCTGTGAGGTCGATCAGGAGCGCCTGGGCAGACATGGGCACAGGGACTAAATGTGGAGTGACTTGACCAGGTCATTCTCTTTAGTCCTGCAGTCAGTCCTATTGAACCGTCTTATGGTGAGCGGGCAGGCGATACGGACTGCTTGCAGTCGTACTGTACCATCTTCTGCCGAGCAGCCATGAGATGTGGATGGCATGCAGTCCTTCTGCACCGTCTGCTGCCAGCCAAAGATGTAAAAGATAGATGGAGTGGATCAAAACAAGAAATAGACCAGATTTGTTTTGTACTCATTTGCTTCCCCCCCTCCCCTGTCTAGGGGACTCATTCTTCTAGATCACACTGCAGTCACTTACAGAGAAGGTGCAGCAAGGTAAATCTAGCCATGTATCAATCAGAGGCCAGGCTAACCTTCTTGCTCCAATAAGGACAATAACTTAGGTGCACCATTTCTTATTGGAACCCTCCGTGAAGTCCTGCCTGAAATACTCCTTGATGTAAAGCCACCCCCTTTGTTGATTTTAGCTCCCTGAAGCCAACCCTGTAAGCGCCCCTCCCAGCGTCAGAGCAATGGCAAACAATCGGGCATCTGAGAGTGCTGTCCAGAGCAGTCACAATGGAGCACTCTGATGGGGCTAAAACATTGTCGCGGGTGGTTCTGGGTACGTGTCGTCAGGCCCCCGTTCCCTCCCTCCCTCCGTGAAAGCAAGGGCAGACAATCATTTCGCGCCTTTTTTCCTGAGTTACCTGTGCAGACGCCATACCACAGCAAGCATGGAGACCGCTCAGGTAACCGTCACCCTATGTCTCCTGGGTGCTGGCAGACGCGGTACGGCTTTGCTGCACAGTAGCAGCAACCCCTTGCCTTCTGGCAGCAGACGGTGCAATACGACTGGTAGTCATCCTCATCGTGTCCGAGGTGCTCCTGGCCGCGTCGGCTGGGAGCGCCTGGGCAGACATGGGCGCAGGGACTAAATTTGGAGTGACTTGACCAGGTCATTCTCTTTAGTCCTGCAGTCAGTCCTATTGAACCGTCTTATGGTGAGCGGGCAGGCGATACGGACTGCTAGCAGTCGTACTGTACCATCTTCTGCCAGGCAGGCAAGAGATGAGGATTGCTAGCAGTCGTATTGCACCATCTTCTGCCAGGCAGGCAAGAGATGGGGATGGCTAGCAGTCGTACTGTACCATCTTCTGCCGAGCAGCCATGAGATGTGGATGGCATGCAGTCCTTCTGCACCGTCTGCTGCCAGCCAAAGATGTAAAAGATAGATGGAGTGGGTCAAAACAAGAAATAGACCAGATTTGTTTTGTACTCATTTGCCTCCTCCCCTGTCTAGGGGACTCATTCCTCTAGGTCACACTGCAGTCACTCACAGAGAAGGTGCAGCGAGGTAAATCTAGCCATGTATCAATCAGAGGCCAGGCTAACCTCCTTGTTCCAATAACAACGATAACTTAGGTGCACCATTTCTTATTGGAACCCTCCGTGCAGTCCTGCCTGAAATACTCCTTGATGTACAGGCACCCCCTTTGTTGATTTTAGCTCCCTGAAGCCAACCCTGTAAGCCGTGTCGTCAGTCGCCCCTCCCTCCGTCAGAGCAACGGCAGACAATCGTTCCGCGCCTTTTTTCTGTGCGGACGCCATACCACGGCAAGCATGGAGCCCGCTCAGCTCACTTTGGCAATTAGGAGCACATTAACCACCACACGCATTATTCAGCAGTATATGCAGCACCAGAACATGGCAACGCGATACCGGGCGAGGAGGCGACATCAGCGCGGTCCCGTGAGTGATCAGGACATGGACACAGATTTCTCTGAAAGCATGGGCCCTGACAATGCATGCATCATGGTGCTAATGGGGCAGGTTCATGCTGTGGAATGCCAATTCTGGGCTCGGGAAACAAGCACAGACTGGTGGGACCGCATAGTGTTGCAGGTCTGGGACGATTCCCAGTGGCTACGAAACTTTCGCATGCGTAAGGGCACTTTCATGGAACTTTGTGACTTGCTTTCCCCTGTCCTGAAGCGCATGAATACCAAGATGAGAGCAACCCTCACAGTTAAGAAGCGAGTGGCGATAGCCCTGTGGAAGCTTGCAACGCCAGACAGCTACCAGTCAGTTGGGAATCAATTTGGAGTGGGCAAATCTACTGTGGGGGCTGCTGTGATGCAAGTAGCCCACGCAATCAAAGATCTGCTGATATCAAGGGTAGTGACCCTGGGAAATGTGCAGGTCATAGTGGATGGCTTTGCTGCAATGGGATTCCCTAACTGTGGTGGGGCTATAGACGGAACCCATATCCCTATCTTGGCACCGGAGCACCAAGCCGCCGAGTACATAAACCGCAAGGGGTACTTTTCGATAGTGCTGCAAGCTCTGGTGGATCACAAGGGATGTTTCACCAACATCAACGTGGGATGGCCGGGAAAGGTGCATGATGCTCGCATCTTCAGGAACTTTGGTCTGTTTCAAAAGCTGCAGGAAGGGACTTTATTCCCAGACCAGAAAATAACTGTTGGGGATGTTGAAATGCCTATATGTATCCTTGGGGACCCAGCCTACCCCTTAATGCCATGGCTCATGAAGCCATACACAGGCAACCTGGACAGTGGTCAGGAGCTGTTCAACTACAGGCTGAGCAAGTGCAGAATGGTGGTAGAATGTGCATTTGGACGTTTAAAGGCGCGCTGGCGCAGTTTACTGACTCGCTTAGACCTCAGCGAAACCAATATTCCCACTGTTATTACTGCTTGCTGTGTGCTCCACAATATCTGTGAGAGTAAGGGGGAGACGTTTATGGCGGGGTGGGAGGTTGAGGCAAATCGCCTGGCTGCTGGTTACGCGCAGCCAGACACCAGGGCGGTTAGAAGAGCACAGGAGGGCGCGGTACGCATCAGAGAAGCTTTGAAAAACAGTTTCATGACTGGCCAGGCTACGGTGTGAAAGTTCTGTTTGTTTCTCCTTGATGAACCCCCCCGCCCCTTGGTTCACTCTACTTCCCTGTAAGCTAACCACCCGCCCCTCCTCCCTTCAATCACCGCTTGCAGAGGCAATAAAGTCATTGTTGCTTCACATTCATGCATTCGTTATTCATTCATCACACAAATAGGGGGATGACTACCAAGGTATCCCAGGAGGGGTGGTGGAGGAGGGAAGGAAAATGCCACACAGCACTTTAAGCACAGCACTTTAAAAGTTTACAACTTTAAAATTTATTGAATGACAGCCTTCTTTTTTTTGGGCAATCCTCTGTGGTGGAGTGGCTGGTTGGCCGGAGGCCCCCCCACCGCGTTCTTGGGCGTCTGGGTGTGGAGGCTATGGAACTTGGGGAGGAGGGCGGTTGGTTACAGAGGGGCTGCAGTGGCAGTCTGTGCTCCAGGTGCCTTTGCTGCAGCTCAACCATACACTGGAGCATACTGGTTTGGTCCTGCAGCAGCCTCAGCATTGAATCCTGCCTCCTCTCATCACGCTGCCGCCACCTTTGAGCTTCAGCCCTGTCTTCAGCCCGCCACTTACTCTCTTCAGCCCGCCACTTACTCTCTTCAGCCCTCCACCTCTCCTCCCGGTCATTTTGTGCTTTCCTGCACTCTGACATTATTTGCCTCCACGCATTCGTCTGTGCTCTGTCAGTGTGGGAGGACAGCATGAGCTCGGAGAACATTTCATCGCGAGTGTGTTTTTTTTTCTTTCTAAGCTTCACTAGCCTCTGGGAAGGAGAAGATCCTGTGATCATTGAAACACATGCAGCTGGTGGAGAAAAAAAAAGGGACAGCGGTATTTAAAAAGACACATTTTATAAAACAGTCGCTACACTCTTTCAGGGTAAACCTTGCTGTTAACATTACATACATAGCACATGTGCTTTCGTTACAAGGTTGCATTTTGCCTCCTCCCACCGCGTGAACGGATTTTGGTTGAATGCCAGCAAACATACACTGCAATGCTTTGTTCTACAGTGATTCCCCAGTACGTGTTGCTGGCCTGGAGTGGTAAAGTGTCCTACCATGAAGGACGAAATAAGGCTGCCCTCCCCAGAAACCTTTTGCAAAGGCAGAACCGCAAATGCCAGGGCAAAGTAATCCTTTCACATGCTTGCTTTTAAACCATGTATAGCATTTTAAAAGGTACACTCACCAGAGGTCCCTTCTCCGCCTGCTGAGTCCAGGAGGCAGCCTTGGGTGGGTTCGGGGGGGTACTGGCTCCAGGTCTAGGGTGAGAAACAGTTCCTGGCTGTCGGGAAAACCGGTTTCTCCGCTTGCTTGCTGTGAGCTATCTACAACCTCCTCCTCATCATCTTCTTCGTCCCCAAAACCTACTTCCGTATTGCCTCCATCTCCATTGAAGGAGTCAAACAACACGGCTGGGGTAGTGGTGGCTGAACCCCCTAAAATGGCATGCAGCTCATCATAGAAGCGGCACGTTTGGGGCTCTGACCCAGAGCGGCTGTTCGCCTCTCTGGTTTTCTGGTAGGCTTGCCTCAGCTCCTTCAGTTTCACGCGGCACTGCTTCGGGTCCCTGTTATGGCCTCTGTCCTTCATGCCCTGGGAGATTTTCACAAAGGTTTTGGCATTTCGAAAACTGGAACGGAGTTCTGATAGCACGGATTCCTCTCCCCAAACAGCAATCAGATCCCGTACCTCCCGTTCGGTCCATGCTGGAGCTCTTTTGCGATTCTGGGACTCCATCATGGTCACCTGTGCTGATGAGCTCTGCATGGTCACCTGCAGCTTGCCACGCTGGCCAAACAGGAAATGAGATTCAAAAGTTCGCGGTTCTTTTCCTGTCTACCTGGCCAGTGCATCTGAGTTGAGAGCGCTGTCCAGAGCGGTCAGAATGGAGCACTCTGGGATAGCTCCCGGAGGCCAATACCATCGAATTGTGTCCACAGTACCCCAAATTCGAGCCGGCAACGTCGATTTAAGCGCTAATCCACTTGTCAGGGGTGGAGTAAGGAAATCGATTTTAAGAGCCCTTTAAGTCGAAATAAAGGGCTTCATTGTGTGGACGGGTGCAGGTTTAAATCGATTTAACGCTGCTAAATTCGACCTAAAGTCCTAGTGTAGACCAGGGCTTAGTCCCATGCCCTCATTTCTAGAGTGCCTCTTTAGAGCTACCAGAAGGTAACAAACAACGATTTTCAATTTGAACTGCATTCTTTAAAGGCACCCCCCCCCCCATCCACATAGTTATTCTAAATAGTTCCTTTTATTTTTAGATTTAGTGCTTTGGACAGCTGCTCAGGTACCAATAAAACTCTGAGAATGCTTCACAATGCAAATACTTTAGCTATCTCACTGCCAACATAAATAAAAGCTAAATATAGGTTGTCAAAATACTACATTTTGTTTTAGTTATAAACTTAAAAATGTTCAAAGATCAAAATCACTGTCAAATAGTCAATTGCTTTCCCCACTTTCACCCTATATTTATGTCAAATGTAATTTTGTTGTCTTGGTTGCCTAGTCAACTGATTAAAAATAACATTTCACTAATCTCATAATATCAGATTTATAGAATTTATTAAAGCCAAAGCATACTCATGATGTTTCATAAAAATAATCAAGAATGAAGGATCTACATCACTAGCCACACTCAAGGTTGGACTAGACACTCATCTCTTAGGGATGATTTAGAAATGGTGAACTCAATTCTTCCACGATGTAGGGGGCAGATTACATGACTCACGAGGGATTCCTTCTAACCTAATGATTCTGATTCAGCCGTAGCATCACACAGTCTGAGGCCTGTTTTTGTTAGAGTATTCCTAATGATATACTAATGAGGCTAATATTTTTTCCTATATTAGTGGGTCCCATCCAAAGCACTAAGTAATAAAGTATATGTTAAAAATAATCTGTATAAGCAACACGTAATATGAATCTGAACTCAGGGAAGAACTACAGTTGCCTTAGTTGCCCCAGTTGCCTTAGGAAAAGTGCACTTTCCTTTGCCTTCCCTTGTGGGCAGAAAAAATATTGCATACAAGTCTCAAATCCATACTAAGATATTTTCTTTTCAATTCTTGGCATTCAATCCATTAAAATGTTAAGCTCTACCAGTAAGATTCATCAAGGGCCTGATCCAGGTGCCATTAAAGTCAATGTATTGACTTCAGTGGACTTTGCCTCTGGCCCCAAGTTAAGTATATACTAATATTTTTCTTTTGCTTTCTAGGATATTGTATAAAATTGTTGCACCAAGCTCAAGCCCTGGACAAGAGCAGCTGAGTGCACTTTGCCCCATTGACCTATAAGAGAAAATGCCTGCCAGAAAAAGAAAGAAGTTTGTTGAATATTTCTGAATTCCTGCTGAAGATGAAGAGAAGAGAAGAGAGGGTTACAAGCAAATATAGCATTTTACACAAGATGGGAAAAGACCCAAGTGTGACCGTAAGAGCCTCTCAGTGTCAACTGGCAAAGGGTTCATTCACTGTTCTGTCAGCAACTCCTATCAGGCGTGACTAACTCAGTACAACTAACATATTGTTTTCATACTATTTCCAAAAAGCATCTTGTGAGGTATTAAATGGAAGTCAGTGACACACTAATGAATTATATTATTGTGTTATGTTTGTATTAACACTATGTGAGGAATTATGTATATCTACTGATATTAAGTTTAAAGTCTGTAACCAAAGGAAGAAATAAGTTTTCTTCCAGACAGAGGGAAGGTAGTTATCTCTCTGTCAAATGTAAATGTAATACTTTCATCCCCTGGACAGATGATCTAATCTCCCTCATAGAGTTCTTCTACAACTTCAACAATCATCACCCATCCATCAAACTCGCTTTAGAACACTCATGGACCAGGATCAACTTCCTGGACACCATGCTTCGACGTGGAACCCTGCAAACAATTATATACAAAAAACCTTCAGATCACAATACCTACTTTCACAATCCAAGTAATCACCCCAAACACACCAAGAAATCTGTTACCTACAGCCAGGCACTCAGATACCACAAAAAATGGTCTGAGGAGAAAGTTTAGGATATACACCTTAACCTACTTAAACATGATCCTAATAAAGACACTATATTTATGACTTATTATAACAATGAGTAACCCACTAAGCCCCCTTCTTTGTCTTATGACTGCAGAGCAGTTAACTGGCCACTTTACCTTGAATGGTCTCTTACAATGTGTGTTAGCTACTTATGCTGAATAATCTATTCCACCTTGTCTTTAGCTCTGACACTCCCAGTACGTTTCTCAGACCTGAAAAAGGGTTCATGGAAGCTTTTTCATAGATTCATAGATATTAAGGTCCGAAGGGACCATTATGATCATCTAGTCCGACCTCCTGCACAGCACAGGCCACAGAAACTCACCCACCCACTCCTGCGAAAAACCTCTCACCTATGTCTGAGCTACTGAAGTCCTCAAATCATGGTTTAAAGACTTCAAGGAGCAGAGAATCCTCCAGCAAGTGACCCGTGCCCCATGCTACAGAGGAAGGCGAAAAACCTCCAGGGCCTCTTCCAATCTGCCCTGGAGGAAAATTCCTTCCCGACCCCAAACATGGCGATCAGCTAAACCCTGAGGATATGGGCAAGATTCACCAGCCAGATACCCAGGAAAGAATTTTCTGTAGTAACTGAGCCTCAGCTTGTTTCTATCACCAACAGAAATTGGTCCAATAAAAGAAGTTACCTCACCACCTTGTGTCTCAAATGTAAATTCAGCATGGTGAAGCTGATAGGAAGGAAGCCCCATTTGCATGTAGGTTCAACAGCAAAAACAGGCTGACAAGGGAATGTGAACTCAACACTGTGCCAACACACCAGAGAACAAACAACAGGGCAGAGAATGTTATCTGGGGGCACTTCAAAAGGATACATTTTAAAGGTTACTGGGCTATAAGAGGAAGGAAAAAGAACCCCTTTGTTATCCATTTACTGAGGAAACCCCTCATAGCATGTAGGGCAATAATGAAAGTCTGGATCCTGGCATGACTGAAAACTAGCAAGCTCTGCAGAAAAGGTTTTAGGTGAGAAACTGCTTTAGATAAGATTAACTTACTCAAGTTTTGTTCTAGTCTTGTAGAAGTGTTTTTTTTTTTTTGCTTTACTTGTAATCTGTTCTTTTTATCCTTGCTCATTACATTTTTGAATCTCTGTTCTTTGTTAATAAACATTCTCTTTTTATTTTAAATTTGTCTCAGTGCTGTGATATTAAATGTGCATCCTCAGTTGAATCAAGCAAGTGGGTGCATACAGTGTCTCTTTGGAGACAGCGGACTTGGTAATTACTCTAAGTGGCCACTGATGGGCTGGGCACTATAGGTAGACAGTTCTGAGGTGCTGGGGCACACCAAGTATTACTACAAGGAGGAATAAAGGCTGGCAGAGCTGAGCAGATTGTTTGGATGGCTAACAGACTGGGGTGACAGGTAGCTACACCAATTTAACACCAGCAAGTCTCTCTCTCACATAGGTAGTGGGTAACAAGGTGACTTACAGCCCTGACCACGCTGAAAGAAAGTCACACTGAGGAAAGCAGCTTTAGTACCATGAATTTACCAAAAAGGCTTTAATAATTATTTATAATCAACCAGAAAATACTTTGAAATAATACAGATTCAAATTCCCTACTTACTCAAGATTGAGATCTTATTAATTTAAGGTTATTGGCTTAAAAATTAGATCCACAACGTCGATGAATACATGACAAACAATTATACTGGTATTTAGTTTAAGCAACTGTTCTAAAGATATTGATGTTATTTTGATTTAAAAAGGCAGTAGTAATTAAATGTTGCCCATGGAGATATTTCAAGAAGCCAGCAATCACCAGCTAATGTAAAACATCCCTGCATGTGTGCTTGACTTATTGCTCAGAAATTTATTTTGAATGTGTCAGTTTTTCTATTCTAGAGGCAAAATGTTTATCTGTGTCTTTCCCAGAATTAACTCATTCACTTTTTTTTTTAAGCTCTGCTCACTCCAGCTAATTTTAATCAGTAAAGTAAATCTCAAAGAGTGATCACTTCTATCAATAGATCTTCAGTGCCCTGGCATTTTGCATCACAGTATGCTTTTGTAGCACATCATCTAGAAATGAGAGAATGGACAAACCTTCCCTCTTTCCTTTAGGGCATTCATTCCCAGCACTCAGGCCCTGAGCCAGAGCCCACTGACATTAAGGGAAGTCTTTCTGTTGGCACAATAGGCTTTGGATGAAGCACTAAGGGCTAGATTTTTCATTTTCTCAGGTGAACTGTTGGGTAATGATGCTCTGTTCTGTTAAATGGTTATATTTTCCATCACGAATCCACATAGCAAGGATTGCACCTGCTGGAGTGTGCCCTTTAGTGGTAGCTCTGCAGCATGACAGGTGCACCTGCCTCAGTTTTCCCCCTCAGGTTCCTTAAAAGACACTAGTGCACATTCTTAAATGTCAAGACTTACCCTATGTGGGGCTGGATTATTACCCTGCACATTGTAAACAGCCCTTATGCTCCCAAACCACAGTTCACACCAATCCCCGTGCACAATCACCACAGCTACTCCAGTGGACTGTTCTGGAACCACCACAACCATTCCAGCCGTCTCTTCTTTCCAGCCTTCGAAAGGCTTTTCCTGTGTCTTTTTGGGCTTTACTTGCTACTTGCCATACCTGGTCTCCAACCTTTAACAGCCTGCCTATACAGGGAACACCTGCCCCTTCTCAAGGGGCCTTAAAGGGACAGACCACCACATCACATCCTATTTTTCATTTTCATAACTAGAAAAACATCTAGAATCAGATTCACAATGGGATTTAGGCCCCAAAGTCCAACTATTAGGCACCACTAGCATTCACAAAACCCCTGCTCAGCTGTGGAGGTGCCTAAATTCCCCAGACACCTGAATTTTTGTTGTAAAAGTCCCCTCCCTGCCTAAGATTCTGCCTCTGCAGGTGCACACTGCTGCCTCAGGCAGGTGCCAGGACACCATTCTCTCACCCAAGCCCCGAAGGACCCTCAAACTAGGCATTGCCCCACCTCCTATTTCTGCAGGCCCAATGCAATAGGTGACTCTGTGTTCAGAGCACACCTAACTCCACACAAGACAGCAGGGGAGGACTTTACATCGCCCCTTCCCCCACACGGTTAGGATGCTCACCCAGGATGTAGGATCAGCTGGTACAATTCCCGCCCCCCATGCCCTCATCCTGATAAGGGGGTCTTCCCACCTATCAAATAAGTGTCCTACCTACTGTTCTGTAAGCTATTCTGATGTGAGGTTCCCTTAATGTCTCTTGCATATTTAATACACACTGGAACAGCATCAGCACTGGGCCTGTGAGAATGTTCCAGTGGTTAGGGCACTCTCCTGAGAGAGGGCGAGACCCATCTTCAAATCCCTTTTCTTCCTCCAGTGGAGGAGGGAATTGAACCAGAGTTTCCCACATCCCCAGGGAGTGCCTGACCAGTGGGCTAGAGGTTATAAGGGAGGTGAGCTCCTCCGGCTGTTTGGTGTGAAGTTAGGCATGCAGGGTCACCTTTCTCGCAAGAAATGGCTTTGGTGCCTGCCTCCAGGAGAGTTCATGTCTGTGAATCCCAAATGGAGATAAATGCCTCACTCCGGCCTGGGTTTAGATGCACTCCTCTCCTTGACATCCGCTATTGGCTAGTTTAGGTGGCTCAACATGCTGGCTTTTGTGAATCTCACTCTTTGTCACACAAGTCTCCCCCTGCATTGTATAAAGAGCTTGGGTGCCTAACTCAGGGTTAGTGCATTCAACCTGGGGAGGCTAAGCATTTAAAAGTTGGGTGTTGCAACATTTAGGTCCTCTTTGTGAATCCAGCCCCTAGTTGTTCTTTGTTTAAAGAAAATTTCTTTATTATTGCTCAATTTCAACTTACTGAAATGGAAGTTGTTTGGGTATGTGTAGAGCCCTGATTGGATTTGTATCTGCAAATCTGTATCTGCATCTGATCCATGATCTGCAAATGTGGTCCACGGATATCCGCAGACGTAAAGCGGCTATACACAGATTTGCCGGGCTCTAGTTATATGAATCATTGTGACAGAGTACTTGAACCTAAGGTAGTCACTAGAATATAGTATATAGAAGGCAAGTTTCCTCTTCCTCTCACACAAAAATTAAAACTTTATGTCTGCCATGACTGTGCTGTATTTAATACACATCCTCCATGAAAACTTAATCCAAGGCTCAACATGTTGATTCAGTTTCAACCATACCGTATACACCCCCTGCCCCCATATGTATTATTTTAGAAGAAAAAAATCTGATTTTAGGTTCTATTTTAAGGTAATATTTGCCAGTTATAATGTCAGTATAGAACTTTCACTGTGTTATAGTTAAGTTCTATGTAATTTAAGAAGGCTTACCCTGCGAAGTCCTAAACTGCTGTCATCTGTATTTTATCACACAGGTAACATTACTTTTCTGGCTAGGAAGGGAAGTACTTATCTGTTCCATAGCACCAGTTTCTGCTGTTCCAGGACTTGGCTTGAGATTGAAAGTGCATGGTATTTTGCAATCTTTCAGATAAATCATATTTAGAAATAGGTGACTCATGTCTAAAAAAAAATCAAATAGAGAAAATTGAAACAAGTTTTAGATTTGCAGGCAAAAATTCAAACAGTGCCAAAAGAAATGCATTTATAGCTA